GAGATGCTAAGGAGGACTGGACGGTGCGATGGAGGTGTGTCAAGAAACAAGAGCCTAGAGAAATTACAGCATACACTGGGAGTGGTTGTTGCATTAGCTGATTACAATTCCTCCGTTCTGTACCTGACACCCTTGGGCAGGCTGCCATCTTCAGTGTTCAGTTAGAAAGCCTGGATAAGCCTGGTGTCAGAAGAAGCCCCATGGTTAAAAATCCCAGAAGGTGTGCTCTTGACCCAACTCTCCAGAAATCACAACTAAATCACAGCATTTTTTAACGGAAGAGGACCAAAAAGATCTATGCATATATAGAGAGAAAGAGAGAGAGTGAGAGTGAGAAACACCGATACTCAAAGAGATAAAATAGTCTGGTCACTGAGAAGGTTAGCGGGAGCTGGTACTCAGCTCTCCTGACCCCTGACTCAAATTTCCAGACACAAGTTATGGCCACAGTCCAGCAGCCACTTGCTCCTAAAGTTCTCAAGATATCTGATCCAAGGGACATCAGGTTAAAATTGAAAAATAGGCCAGTCGTGGTGGCTCACACCTGTAATCCCAGCACTTTGGGAGGCTGAGGTGGGCGGATCACCTGAGGTCAGGAGTTCAATACCAGCCTGACCAACATGGAGAAATCCCATCTCAACTAAAAATACAAAATCAGCCAGGTGTGGTGGCGGGTGCCTGTAATCCCAGCTACTAGGGAGGCTGAGGCAGGAGAATCACTTGAACCCAGGAGGCAGAGGTTGTCGTGAGCCGAGATTGTGCCATTGCACTGTAGCCCGGGGAACAAGAGCGAAACTCCATCTCAAAAAAATAAAAATAAAAATGAAAAATAAAAATGATAATGACCGGGCATGGTGGCTTATGCCTGTAATCCCAGCACTTTGGGAGGCCAAGGCGGGTGGATCACTTGAGGTCAGGAATTCAAGACCAGTCTAGCCAACACGGTGAAACCCCGTCTCTACTAAAAATACAAAAACAAAAACAAACAAAAAATTAGCTGAGCGTGGTGGCACACACGTGTAATCCCAGCTACTTGGGAGGATGAGGTAGGAGGATTGCTTGAGCCCAGAAGGTGAAGGTTGCAGTGAGCTAAGATCATGCCACTGCACTCCAGCCTGGTAGACAGAGTGAGACTCTGTCTCAAAAAAAAATCAGCATTTGCTTCTCTGCACCAGAATCGAGGTGCACAATGCTTCAGTTTCTAGGTAACTACAATTATCCTGCCAGACTAATACGATGAGGGAGTGCTAGTGGAGACCACCTGGAGACAGCTGAGGGCCATAGGTCAGGATTGAGTTTAACAGCAGGAAAAACAGCCTGATATGGTTTGGCTCTGTGTCCCCACCCAAATCTCACGACGAATTATAATCCCCAGTGTTGGAGGAGGGGCCTGGTGGAAGGCGACTGGGTCATGAGAGCGGATTTCCCCTTTGCTGTTCTCATGATGGTGAGCGAATTCTCATTAGCCTTGGCTGTTTAAAAGTGAGTGGCGCCTTCCCCTTCACTCTCTTCCTCCTGCTCCAAACATGGAGGACATACACGCTTCCCCTTCGCCTTCTGCCATGACTGTAAGTTTCCTGAGGCCTCCCTAGCTATGCTTCCTGTACAGCCTGCGGAACTGTGAGTCAATTAAACCTCTTTTCTTTATAAATTACCCTGTCTCAGGTAGTTCTTTATAGCAATGTGAGTTTATTTTATCTCTTGGAGTATTGGTGTTTTGATAGATAGATAGATAGATAGATAGATAGATAGATAGATAGATAGATAGATAGATGGATGATAGATAGATAGATGACAGATAGATAGATAGATAGACAGAACAGGCAGACAGACAGACACAGATAGACCTTTTTGGTTCCCTCTAATTCAAGAATGGTGCGATTGTGTGTATTAGTCTGTGGACGAATACACAGTCCCAGATCTAAAATTCTGCCTCACACATTCCTCAATGGGAGTAATCTTGCCAGGCCCACCTCTGAACCCCCCTGGACACAAATACCTCCTAAACGTTTAATTTATATGAAACAAACAATACCGGTTTATTGTAGGGGTGAATCCACCCCTTCAACTCTCCTTCTGTTGCCCAGAGGTAATTACTGCTAATGTTTTGTTACCCTTTATTGACTCTTTCAAGATTTTTTTGAGTCTACATATGATTATTTTTTATATAATAAAATCATACTTTATATATTGTTCCATATTGGAATCTGTTTTATTCATTAAAAAATATCTCATGTAAATGTTTCCAAGTCAATAAATATGAATTATTTTGGTGGTTCTTTGTTATTCCTTTTAACGGAGGTATAATAATTTCTTTAAGCACTATCTTCTTACTAGACACTTGGGTTATGTCCAACTATGAAAAAAAATTCACGGCAATGAGCATCTTTTTTCGTATGTCATTGAGCATGTGCCTAATTATTTCCTTAAGACAAACTCTTACAGGAGGAATTGATGCATCAAAAGATAGGCATATTTTTCAAGCATTTGATCCATATGTCAAATTGTCCCCGGCATGGCTGCACTCTCCGAAAGTGAGGTCCTTGTGGGAAAGCTCTCCCAGAGCAGATGGGAGCTGAGCTGGAAGTTGAAAGATGTTGAAATAGAGACAGAGGCAGCTGTGAGAAGCAGTATGGTACAGCAGGGCGAGTACCAACTTTAATTTCAATGGAAAACCTGGCTCCCTCCTCACAAACTGTGTGACATGGGCAAATTACTTAGCCTCTCTGAGCCTCTCTCTTTCTTCATCTGTAAATGGAGCTATGACTGCCACCCTCTCACTATTGTAAGAACTGGAAACAACGTACATTAAAAACCTTGCACCGTTGTGCACTAAATATTTTTTGAATGGATAAGTTAATGGATAGATGGATGGATGGATGAATTTTTAAAAAGGAAGGAGGAAGAGCAAGCGAACCGGATGAAAGTAAAGACAAAGCACATTTGTTGGAATGTTCATAGACTGGCTTGTTGGGTGGAGGGCTGGTCGCCTTTGGGAAGTTCTAGGAGGAAAGGAGAGACAGGGATGGTGCAAACTGAGCAGTCGTTTTCTCCATCACAACTTGTTCCTTCTTCTCTGGGTGCTGGGGGCTGGTGAGCAAATGTGTCCCTGTTTCACGATGATGACCCTAAGGCCCAGATATAAGTTGTTCCCCACCCAGGGGCAGAATCCCACACCCCAGCCTGGGCTCAGCATTGCAGTGGGATCCACCAACCCCAGCTGAGCCTCTTACCTCGACGAGCTTGCCACACTCCAGTGAAGGCACCCACACTGCCCGCCAGCTCACACTTCTCAGCCCATGGGCCATTGTCCCCTAGAAACCAGAAAAAGCATAATGGTCACCAGGCTGGTTGGACACTTTCGCTGACCCTCCCACTCTAGCCCTATCTCCCTGTGAAGAGCAGGAACTAGATAGAAAAAGGACTTATAAAGACAAACATGGGCCTGCTGCAGTGGCTCACGCCTGTAATCCCAGCACTTTGGGAGGCGGAGGCAAGCAGATCACTTGAGGTCAGGAGTCCCAGACCAGCCTGGCCGACATGGTGAAACCCCTTCTCTACTAAAAATACAAAAATTAGCTGGGTGTGGTGGCGGGCGCCTACAATCCCAGCTGCTCTGGAGGTTGAGGTACAAAAAACGCTTGAACCCAGGAGACGGAGGCTGCAGTGAGCCGAGATCACGCCACTGCATCCCAGCCTAGGTGACAGAGCGAGACTCCATCTCAAAAAATAAGTAAAAATAAATAAATAAATAAAGACAAATATGATTCCCACTCGTGAAGAACAACCCTTGATATGAGGCCTGTCTCTACTGGGCTTTCAGAGACAAGTGGCCTTTTCTGCCCCAACACAGCCCCATCGTGAGCCTCTTGCCTTCCTTGCCTTTCCTCCCCTTCCTTCCTTCCTCTTTCCTCCCTTGCCTTTCTGTAAGTTTTCAGCAATCTCATTGCCACCATCATCAGCCTCAGTCCAGCGACTGTTTATGTACATCTATTATGCACCCAGTGTTTCACATACATCGTCTCATAATCCTCCAACATGCTATGGAGTAGATTCTGTTATTAGCTTAATTTTGCAGATGAGGAAAAGGAGGCTTGGAGAGATTACGGGAATTCCCTCAGTAGTAGAATATAGATTCAAATCCTATAGGAGTTTATAACACCTTTGCTGCACGGTAGAGAGTATCGGTCTCTACCTGACCCGAAAGCAGTGCTGCTTCTTCTTTTTTTTTTTTTTTGAGACAGAGTCTTGCTCTGTCGCCCAGGCTGGAGTGTAGTGACACGATCTCAGCTCACTGCAACCTCTGCCTCCCAGGTTTAAGCGATTCTCCTGTCTCAGCCTCCCGAGTAGCTGGGACTACAGGCATGTGCCAATACGCCCAGATAATTTTTGTATTTTTAGTAGAGACAGGGTCTTGCCATGTTGGCCAGGCTGGTCTCAAACTCCTGACCTCAGGTGATCCGCCTGCCTCAGACTCCCAAAGTGCTGGGATTATAGGTGTGAGCCACCACGCCTGGCCGAAAGCAGTGCTTTTAACCTCTGTGGTTGCTCCAGACAGAAACCTAAAACACATCATGCATGTATGAGGCCTTTAAAGAGGCCACCAGTTCAGCTCACTAAGGCCACTCAGTCAAAAGACGTGACATGGGGAGTGGCAGCAAGCGGAATCTTTGGGACCAGGGAAGATGGAGAAGAGGGAAATCTTAGAACTGCACAAGGACAACACAGGCTCACAATGTCAATGTCATTCAATGGCAATTGAGAGCAATACCCAGATAGCCTGAATTGACACACAGGGGCCAGCAAGGCGCCTGCTCTGTGTGTGCAAACCTTCCCAGGGACTTGGTCTTGGAGGCCCCAGTGGACAGGTGCTCAGCATTCAGGCCAGCAAGCCTTATCTGGGCCTCAAGTTCAAAGCAAGTCCCCTGACCTATGAAAGGGGATCACGAGGCCAGACTCTGCTCTTCACAGGTAACGTGCAAGTTTATCTATTAAATGGCAGTTAGGCTGGCTGGCTTTTATTACTTTACCTGTAAACCAGAGGAATGTGTTCTCCTTCGCTGCGTGGTCAACTTTGTCCTTGATCTGGCCAACCAGACCGTCCATCTCCCGGAGCCCTGCACCATACAGCCTTCTGCCCCGTGGGGCTGCCGGTAGCTGAGTTACAGGTAAGGGCACGTGCATGTGGGCCAGAGCCACATATAGCAGGAAGGGCCTCCCGCTGGTGCTGAAACAGGAGAACCAAGAGGTGACTCTTCAGAAGGCTCTCCTGGCTCGTCTGGTGCCTCAGGGATCCTCCCTCTCCTCCAGGAAACTCCCCAAAGCTCCTTCTGCCCCATAGGCTCGGGAAGGACACATTTATCCATAACCTTCCAAGGAAATGTGAAAGCAATCCGGTTAGCCGATTAAAAATGAGAATTGTAATAATAGTTACTATCCCTTATCATTTACTGAGAGCTTATTATATGGGACTCACGTTGTCTAGGTTCATCCTCATCATAGCCCCGTTTTTCAGATGAAGAATCAGAAGCTTAGAGATTAAAGGACTTGCCCAGGGTATGCAATTAGTTACGTGTCCCAATCTTGCTCTTAAATGCCACACTGTAAAGTCTGCGGCATACACACACACACACACACACACACACACACACACACACCCCTTTACATTTTATTTTGCAGCATCCGAACTATCCTGTCCGTTCTCAGCCTCCTTCCTTCCTTCCTTCCTTCCTTCCTTCCTTCCTTCCTTCCTTTCCTTCCTTCCTTCCTTTCTTTCTTTTTTCTTTCTGTTTTTTAGACAGAGTCTCATTCTTGTCGCCCAGGCTGGAGTGCAGTAGTGCAATATTGTCACACTGCAACCTATGCCTCCTGGATTCAAGCGATACTCCTGCCTCAGCCTCCTGAGTAGCTGGGATTACAGGTGCCCACCACCACGCCCGTCTAATTTTGTATTTTTAGGAGAGACGGGGTTTAGCTATGTTGGCCAGGTTGGTCTCAAACTCCTGACTTCAGGTGATCTGCCCTCCTTGGCCTCCCAAAGTGCTGGGATTACAGGTATGAGCCACTGTGCCTGGCCAGTCTTGTTCCTTTCTAAGAGATAAGTGGTTGTCTCGAGTTAATCACAGGAATTCCAAGGACACATATGACCACCAGGTAACATCTAGATCAGGGCTCTGTCAGAGGCCCTGTTGTTCTGCTGCCTCTGTAGTAATCCTGATTCCCCTGGAAAGTGCAGAATGAAAGGCTTGGAGGAGCTGGGGTTGTCTCCAAGCAAAGGTCCCAGCCTTACTCCCAGCTAAGAGCAGCTGCAGAATTACAATGGTGGCAGGGACCTTCGGGGGCCCCTCTCCCACAGATCCATCCACGGGGGTCTTTCAGAGGACACCAAGCAAGGGTACTGGGACAGTACAGAATCAACAACATTCCAGTGGGGGGAGATGCATGGCCCTTTCATACCTGTTCACCCAGAGATTCAGCTGGACCCAGGGGTCTCCTTAGGTCACCCTGGTTTACACCACCTCACAGCCTTGCTCTATAGCCACCTGTGCCCTCAAACTCCCCTGCATCCTGGCTCCCAGGGTCTGCCGCCCGGGACTGTGCTTGCACTCAGTTCTCCTTGATAGGCATAAAATCCTGGACACAAGTCCCAAGACAGGGGCCTCTGCCTTCCCCATTTTAATTCACACTTTCTCTGCAACACTGCTAGAGTTGTGTTGTTCAGGGCAGCAGCCACAAGTCACATGTAACTATTTAGATTTAAATGAATGAAAATTAAATCATAATAGAAGTTCCATGGCTCACACACTAGCACATGGGTGGACCTGGAAAATATTATGCTAAGTGAAATAATCCAGTCACCAAGAAGCAAATAACTGTATGATTCCACTTGTGGGAGGTGCCCGGAATAGTCAAATTCAGAGAGAGAAGGTAGGATGGTGAGTGGCGGGGCACTGTGGGGAAGAAAAACTGGGCAGCGCATGTTTCATGGGTACAGTTTCAGTTAGAAAAAATGAAAAAGTTCTGAAGATGGATAGTGGTAATGGTTGCAAAACAAAGTGAATGTTTAATGCCACAGAACTTTACATTTAAAATGGTTAAGATGGTAAAATTTTATCATTATATATATATCTGTATATATTCATACTCACAGTAAAATACACACACACACACACACACACACACACACACACACACAAAAATTCCTAGCCACATTTCATATGCTCAGCAGCAGCAGGTGGCTAGAGGCTAGCAGCTTGGACAGTGCAGACAGAAAACATCTCCATTCTTGCCGAGTTTTTTCGTACAGCACTGATTTGCAGTGCCTGGTGACCCCTCTCCCAGGGATGGTCATGTACAGTTGTGCAGGTTGTGGCCTGCATCAGGACATCCTGCTGAGTGAATGGGTCCTTATTTCCAGCTTACAATCTACTGCCTTGGTACCCTGCACAGGGCAGTGCCTAGCCACAAGGGGTGTCTTTTTGTAATTTTCAGGTAGATTCCATATTGCAGTGGTGCCTAAACCTGGCTCAAATTTCAAGAATTTTGCAAACCAGTTGTTAAACACGGCCATTGCTAAAAATTGAATTATATAAGTTTACAATGAAATATTTTTTTTTTCCAGGCGTGGTGACTCACATCTGTAATCCTAACACTTTGGGAGGCCGAGGCGGGCAGATCACTTGAGGTCAAGAGTTTGAGACCAGCTGGGCCAACATGGCGAAACCCTGCCTCTACTGAAAAATACAAAAATTAGCCAGGCGTGGTGGCAGGCACCTGCAATCCTGGCTACTAGGGAGGCTGAGGCAGGGAGAACTGCTTGAAACCAGGAGGCAGAGGTTGCAGTGAGCCAAGATTATGCACTGCACTCCAGCCTGGGCAATAGAGCGAGACTCTGTCTCAAAAATAAATAAATAAATAAATAATATTTTTTAAAGGTGGTACATTCTCACCATTTATCACTTCCTAATTACTACATTCTACTATGATGTACGCTCATGGGCTTATTTACATCTATTGTATCTGTGTCGTGGAAATAACACACAATGGCTTGCTACTGCCCATCATTTCTCAATGCCACATTCAGTGACATCTCCATAGCTGGAAATCAGCCATGGTGAGAGTGAGTATTTACACCCCAGGAATTGGCAAATGCTACAGATTGTGGCTGTTTTCTTGGAAATCAGCTCACCGTGTGTATGGGTGAGGGGTGGTCCTGCTGTCCACCCTTCATCATCCATCATCATCTTCCAAATTCTCACCCATTATCAAAGTCACATTAGTACCCTGAGCCAGAGGCTTACAGAGAAGGGCAGTTATGAGAGATGGCAGAGCACAGGCTGATGAAGAGCACAGCCTTGAAAATCCTGCATCTAAACCTCCGGATTTGTTACTTCATGACTGTGTAGCCCTGGACAATTAACTTACCCTCGCCATCTATAAATTGGGGACAATCGGACCTCCCCAACAAAGTTGTTGTGTAATTTCCCACACTAAGCATCTAATAAATGGTAGCTTATTCTGCTGTTGTTTTTTGTTTCTGAGATGGAGTCTCACTCTATCTCCCAAGCTGGAGTGCAGTGGCATGATCTCGGCTCACTACAACCTCCACCTCCCAGGTTCAATCAATTCTCCTGCCTCAGCCTCCTGAGTAGCTGGGACTACAGGCGCGTGCCACTACACCTGGCTGATTTTTGTATTTTTAGTAGAGATGAGGTTTCACCATGTTGGCCAGGCTGGTCTCGAACTCCTGACCTCAAGTGATCCGCCTGCCTTGGCTTCCCAAAGTGCTGGGATTACAGGCGTGAGCCACTGCGCCCAGCTGCTTCCTTGTTAATAATGTTGAATACATGCCAGCAGTAGTAAGTATAAATGGTGCCCAAGGGTGTACCTCTTTCCCTGCATCCTGATGCCAGGCTAGATTCCAAAACATGGCATCAGGCAGAGCCCACACAGACTAGTCCCTTGGGGGCATCTGTCCTGCAAGTCACCTCTTCATTATGCACCTGTGTCGAATGGAAAATAGAGTGGGGGACACTTGGTGCTTTAAAAAAATACTGACTATATCACAGTGTGACTCCATTTTTGTTTTTTAAAATACATTCATTTCAACTATGCCTTAATAAAACCAGGGAGACATATGTTTATGCACCAGCATAGAATGAGGCTAGAACATAATCAGAGCTATTAAAACAGGTTATCCTCATGCCTGTAATCCTAGCACTTTTGGGAGGCCGAGGTGGGTGGATCACCTGAGGTCAGGAGTTCAAGACTAGCCTGACCAACATGGTGAAACCCTGTCTACTAAAAATACAAAAATTAGACAGGCATGGTGACGCGTGCCTGTAATCCCAGCTACTCAGGAGGCTGAGGCAAGAGAATGGCTTGAACCCGGGAGGCAGAGGTTGCAGTGAGCCCAGACTGTGCCACTGCACTCCAGCCTGGGCAACAGAGCAAGACTCTGCCTCAAATAAACAACAACAACAACAACAACAACAGGTTATCTCCGGGGTGGAATTCAGGGTGATTTTTTTTGTTTGCTTGTCTTAGTTTTCCGAGATTCCTAAAGGGAACACGTGTTATTTTTGTGAGTAGAGAAGGAAAAAAACAAGTAAGATAACACAGGGAACATTCCAGGAGAGCAAGAGGATGCGGCAGGGCATGGAGACACACTGAAGATTATGGTGCAGGGACAGCTAAGGGTGGGGAAAATCATCTGATCCGAACTGGAAAAGGGCAGGTGAGAGGCACCCATCTCTCAAGAAGTGTCCCCAGATGGTGCCTAGGTGGAGGGAGGCAGGCCTGGAGGTGAAGGCAGGGCTTCCCTCATGCAGGGGGAAATGAATACCTGCAGCTCTCAGCCCACTGGCCTCTCTGGTGGTGGTTCCCTGGGGATGGATGGACAAGGGGTCTCTCTGAATTGGACTGCTGCAATAACCACTTGTCCCCCACCCCACCATTTTGCCATCTTCCACTAGGCCCTGGCATCACAGACAACCTTCGCTAACCCAGACTTGATCTGGCAGATCCATATTTAGAAACGTACTAGGGCTGTCAGGCACGATGGTTCACGCTTGTAATCCCAGCACTTTTGGAGGCCGAGGCAGTTGGATCACCTGAGATCGAGAGTTCAAGACCACCCTGACCAACACGGAGAAACCCCATCTCTACTAAAAATACAAAATCAGCCGGGCGTGGTGGCGGGCGCCTGTAATCCCAGCTAGTCGGGAG